AAATATAATTAGTTTAATCACACCTTATTATACGATTAATCAATATAAAATTACATATAACACTATGAGTATATTGCGTTTGATAAAATAAAAAAGCGGAATCTAAGAATTTAAAGTTCCTTTACATAAAATTTAGAATATGAATAAATTAGGATTAGATAATAAGAAAAAAAACTCATAATTATTAATTTGTGTAAGTCATTCAGAAAAAAAAAATTTTCTTAAAAGTTTAATTAATTATGAGTAATTTAAAAGAAACATTCATCTAGATGCTATAAATATAGTCAAGCTTGATCGTAAAGTTCAAATGGAAATAGATTGACCCTAATTTTCATTATCTAGAATGATCTTCGCATAGACTTTCGCTATATCAATGGCTACAAATATATCATTTTCACGGAGTACTTAATTAAAGCCGACAAATTATTAGAGAAAATTTTAAAGCAAATAATCGGAATTACAAATTACTTTTTTGACGAATTTAATTAACTGTTAGACTAAGAGTGCGCAATGATAACTTCATAAATCAAGCGAACTATAATTGTTCAACATGAAATTTTTAATTACGAAAACAGCAGTAATCAACTCTCGAATGAGGAATCAAACTCTATGAAGTTTATTACTAATGTTAAAATATTTTCATCTGAATAAAAAAAAATCTGTATTGACCTTGTACTTTCTTTCTATGACAGTCGATCAAATTCTGATATGCTGCTTGCTATCAGAATTCATCACACTCTATTTATAAATAAAATATATGATCAAACAACTCACGTTTAGATACTTTTTTTTTAATCTGCAGCGTGATCTTTGACGATTACTGTAAATATAAAATGAGTTCAATGTTCACAGTATTACGCATATATTTTTTTCTATAAGTCTTGCTGTTTGGTAATTGTAAAACGCTCAATACAATAAATTAGTCTCCCATAGAATTCATAATACAATAGTTAATTGACCTATAGATAAAACCTTTGACAGGCCAAGATTTTGATAATCTTTGCTAAATAAAATGCACGTCAAATATAGAATAATATTATAATAGAAATTATTTTTTGTGTTTTCTTTTTTTTTTCTTTCTTTCTTATATACGCCAAACGATAAAGACAAAGAAATTTTCTTGAAAGAAACAGAAAAAAAAAGATAGCAGAGAGCGAGAAAAACTAAGTGTTTTTTGTATGTAAGACTAATACATCATGTTTTACTAATAAAATTATTGAACTTTTAATAAGTTTTTCGTATAAAAATATAAATATATATTATCTAAGATAGAAAATTTCAGCAAAAACAAAAAAAAAACAAGAAAGTTTCAATCACAAGAAGAAAAATATAGAGAAGTAAATTGATTAACTAGGAATGCACAGTGTCTACGTAAATACTGACATCAGTGGCACCGATAAAGTATTTACTGAAACATTGTCATCGGTGTCATTAATATAATGATCACATTGATATCTGCGTTCGCTGTAACCTTGAAGCACTAATTCTTTCAAAAGATGTCCTTTTTTCTAGTGATACGTTCTAGTAGTTAAGTGAACACTAGTGTCAACTTGACCTTGTAGTCAGTGTGCACTGACTACACTGAATTGGTAGTCAGTAAACTAGAACTAGGAATCACAGAATATCATCTATTTCTCATATATTATTTGTAGTAATCTTTTTTTTCCCAGAAATATTCAGAGAAACAGTTCATGTTTTCATCTACTCTCCTATGAATATCCAGTATTAAAAAAAAAAGCAACTTTCTAGAAATACCCTGCTTATTCAAATGGACTACTTCTTTTTCTTTAAATAGCAATCACGACATATATCGGAAATTGAAATAAGTATTAAAAAAAGAATTAGAATAATCCTTGCGGAATTACAATTTCACATACGATATAACTGCTATTACTTAATTATAGCACCATTGTTTTATTCAATCTACTTAGGGCATACCAAAGGTCTTTACGGAGCTATGTCAATTTCTTATAGAATGCTTGAAGAAATTTTATATTTTTTATGTAGTGATAGAAAAAACGATGTTCTATTTTTCTATGCTATTTGATCAATCTTCAACTAATATCATAATAATAAAATTTCGTTTTATGTAAGACTTAACTAACAGGTGAGGTAGAATAAATGTTTCAATCACTTAATATATTGTATTAAAAAACAAAATATGCCAAAAAATGCAGCGTAAAAAGCTCTACAATTTACATAAAACTACTTGTTTTATAGTTGCATTTTTTGTTTTCAAAATGAACAAAATTTCGAGCGATCAATTTTCACCGCTCTAAAAAAATCATGCGAAGAAAAATTCTGTTTTTCTTATTTCATATATAAAATAAACTATTCTTTATCAGTTGTAGAGCTTTTCATGTTGCATCTTGTGATATATTTTGTTTTTTAATACAATGTATTAAGTGATTGAAATATTTAATCTGCCTCGCCTGTCAGCTAAGTCTTACACAAAAAAAAAAATTTTATTATGATATTAGTTGAAGATTGATTGAATAGCATAGCAAAAACAGAACATCGTTTTCTCTATCACTACATAAAAAAAGAAAACTTCTTCAAGCATTCTTTAAGAAATGGACATAGCTTCGTAAATACTTTTGGTACACCCTAAGTATTTTGGGATACATTTTTTCATCATCCGTTAAATGCTTCAGAAATGCAATAAAGAAATAGGTCATATATAATAATAAGATATTATTGATATACGGTCTATGATTGTATATCAATAATGTCTGTCATTGTGATACAGAAATAGACATTTGATTTTTTGAAAAATTTCTAACGTTTCAAAACAGTTTTTTTTTTTTCGAAGATGTTACTGTTTGATTTCTTGTCAATTATTTTCTCTTTTTTTTCATTGCAAAATTTCTCTAGGCTAAGAAAATTTTTAGAAATGTCTTTGTGATATTTTCATAATAATAATCTGTTATGATCTATAGGAGATGTTAATTTGTATCTTTTTAACACTTCTTTTAGATCATATTTCACAAAGAATGAAACATTCATTTCATAAACAACACAACAACATCTAGTTTATTACAAAGTTTTTACTTTTTTTAAACAAATTAGACTTTAATAAACAGAAAATTAAAAAACAAATAAAATTCAATTCCAATAGCACTCGAAAATATAACAATGTTCGTATTAATACTTGAGAAAATAATTATCTGTTCATGCAGTATAATTTTCAATTATTTGAACATCATACTCATAGTCAACGTAATTTTCTTTTTAAAAATGTTCTTCAAAGAAACTAATTTTCGAAATTTCGCTGAAAATTATTTTAAATATCTGGACGTTCTGAAATGTTTGATCCTTCTCTCTGCCTAAATTTAATACACTCCACCTTTACACTTGAATCTCTTTTATAAATAGTCTCTAAACGATTATATGTTTTTTCTTTCATTCACCATTCCATTATAAAATTCTAAATGAACATCTGGCATTTATTCAAATAAACACATTTGTTAATTTATATATAGAACGATGAGAAGCACTTCAGAATTTCAACTATTTTTGAAGGTTTGCATTAATGTTTTTTGAGGACGTGTTTGTCCTATTTTTGTTGTTGTTTGAGAAAAGTAATTACTTATTATTCTGTTCGAATCGATAAAAGAAATGACAAACGAAGAAAAGAAGATATCTTAGAAACAAGAAAATATCGATAAAAAGTATGTCATCTTTGAGATGTTTATTTAAGATATTCATCAACAAAAGCATATATTTAGATGACAGCTTTTTCAGTTAATTCAACTATCGGATAAACTTTTATTATTGTTAAAAAGAACAAATTTTAATATAATTATCTTCCAAACAGTAACAACATTTTTATTTTACTAGATCTTTCACTTCGTATGAACTACATTTGTCATTAAGTGATCAAAATTATATTTACATTTATTATTTGATAGACAATATAATTATGTCAAATTAGCTAAAAAAAACAATAAATAAGAATCATAATTGATCATTGAATCGATCTATTTATTGTCAATTCAAGCGATCTAATTATTGAGTTTAATCTATATAATAATTATGATTATAAGCTTTTCATAGAGATTTATTATGACATATTCTAAAAACAAAAGTCTGTCACGTACATTATAGAAAATACATGATGGAATGAGCAAAGAAAAAAATTTCAAGTAGGAAATTATAATGTTCAACCGGATTTTGTAATTATAACATACCAAAAAAAAAACCGGCGGAAATTACATCTATGTTGTTTGTAATTTAATATTCTACAATAAATCATCCTGAGTAAACAAAGATTTTTTCTAAACTTTTAGTGAAGTATAAAAAAAAAAGAAATGATCTAGATTGTCACTATTAGGTCATGTTGTTAATTTAGAATTAAAAAAAGAAGCTTGTAAAATATCAGACATCAAATAAATATAAATACTTCTTTTTAAGAACACTCTTACATTTTTCAATAAAGAGAGATCATTAAGCAATATACATTATGCTTTTATATTCATAATAATAAAACAATAGTTTTTTTTTAATATCATTCTATTCAAAATATAAGATTTTAAATGCAAAAATATATTGACTATTTCAAATGATTGATATCAGGAAATAAATTTATCAGAAAGAAAGAAAAATAATATATTTAAGACTTTCTAAGACTTCTCTAAATGAATAGATCCTTTATTCTATCACAAATAGATATAGAAAAACTATGAAAATAGATTAGATGTTATTATTATTGTGCAGACCAACCGCCATCAATAGGTATTGCCGTTCCAGTTCTAAATGCAAAAAACAAAAAATATTATTCAAAATGATAAAATATCATTATTAAAAGACATGTTTCATTCGATACTATTTCTATTCTATACAACATTAATTAAATATGATTATATGTCTACATAGCATAGATTAAATACTAAAGTTTATCTCAAAACTGTCGATCTTTGTCTGTAAATTAACATTATCTATATGAATACATATTTTTAGATAGTTGACTGAAATACAGTATAATAGTGAAAGATTAACCCTTTACCCCTCATTGATAATTGGAATTGCCATTTTATAGAATGATTGCAGAAAATAAAGGAAGCATGAGATTCGAAAACGATAAGAATATTTTTTGTAGTGAACTTTATGAGCTATCGATTAGTAAAAAGAATAATTTTTTCATTGCTCCGTCTTTGAAATATTGGGCCAACAAAATCGATAATTTTGTAAAAAATGAAAAAAAAACCGAATTTTTCGAAATAAATCGTTCTCTACTAACAGTAAATAAAGATCTTTTGGAATTTGTATGTGATATAAATTGATGAAAGTGTCTACTAAGAAGTTAGATATGTTTCGAATGCATCGCGATAAGCTGGCCGATCGCACACACTAACACACATAATTGACCAAGGAACCATTATGAGGCATCTTTAGAGCAATTAAGAGAAATAATAATATATGTATTATAAACATCAGCTCATGAGAAGTTAGAATAGTATTTATTTTGAATTAAATATCTTCAGAAGTTATAAAACGGCTCAAAACAAGGTAGATGCCTATTTAAGAAAATGTGCTAAAAATACATGTATTCTTTCGACATTAATTTTTATTGGTTTATTTCCTCCGCTTTCCATTATTCCAATAACATGGGATAGATGTTACTTTTGTTCATTCAATAATGTAGTCAAAGAAAACCAAATCAACACTTAATATGTCGTTCCATCCTCTCATTCCATCACAGGGTTAACCGACCAATTAAATGGTCCTATACAAAGAGGTAGACATTCGGTGAATCAGATCACACAATTGTCACGCTAGGCACGCTAGTACTCTATTTATATAGTTATTCTATCGATGGCTCTTCTGGAACCGCCGTGAGGGTTAAAGGGTTAAAAGAAAATAATTAAAATTGCATCGACATCATTAAAACTTACAATACATCTTACATTTCATCTATTCAACATTAGAGAGAGAGAGTAAATTGAACTTTTAATTACACTAGTTAGTCTACTGTTCCGTTTGTTGATGTAACTCGAAAAGGTTATTTTCGGCATCTATATGTCATACTACGTCTCGATACACCAATTATCAGTCAATTAACTAATGTTATTGAAAATTAAGCAAACTCTCTTTACGTTCATTAGACTAAAACATTTTATTACTTGATTAGATATGACATTTATCTCTACTAATTTCTAATATCTATCATTATGAAATGTCATTTTATCAAATATTAAATTCGTAGAAAATAATTAAGTGCACTACATCTAGTTCATTCAAATCTCTTATTGTTCGCGAATTAAAATAACGCAAATAAGCAAAATGACATATTTTCACCGTCCTCCGAAGTATACTTTTTAAAATTTATTCGATAGCTGATCGAATAAATGTTTATGTAATGAAACACCTAAGATCTTATGACAATAATATCAAGTTGTCTTATTTTTTTTCTTTAGTACTCAATTTACTTTTTACTCATTGAATTTTATTTACAAGAATTTCTCATATTACGCATATATAAATATATATATATATATATATAGTATATAATTTCTACTATACAGGTATATAATCATATAAAATTAATGATATATAGTTTTAATATATTACTTATAAATAAATAGTGATAACATCAAAAGATAAATATTTTGAATTACAAAGAAAAAGTCGTGTCTTCTTGATTGCGAACATTTTTTTTTAATTTGTGGGAAAAAATGTCCGCACATTGAAAAATACTCGCAAAGTGGAATCCAGAGAAGAGAGACAAAAATGTCCTCATTATAGAAACGAACGAATATAGATATAATTAGATGTTCAGTGTAGTTAGTTCGATCTAATGGTGAATAATGCATCTTTCAAGCTAGTTTGGAATGTTACATGGTGTCTAAGTCATTTTTTGTATTTACTATGGAAGAAAGTATATAAAGTAATCGAGATATAGTTAGATAAACTAAATAAAAATGTTAATCGTGAACAATAACAATTTTTCTCCAATTATAATATAGTCTGATAATAATGAA